GTCTTACAGGGCTTATACTGAGTTCAATATTGTATAACTGTATTAATTCAACTGTGAACCTAGAAACTTGCACCCACTTGTGAAAGAGATGTACTCTTGCTCTGGAGTCTGTTACTGAATATGTTAAAGCTGTAATGAAATGCTTCTTATAATCATGTAATCATTAAAAATTTTTAAAAATCTAAAAAATATAATAAATCAAAGAAGAAAGAGTACATAAAGTTATCAGAAAAAATGATGGGGAGGTATGGGAGGAGTTGGAGGGGAGGGCATGGGCATGGATTTGATCAAAACACCTCATATACATGTATAAAATTCTCAATAAATAATTTATTTTTAAAAAAGAGAAATACTGAAGAAAAAAAACTGCAATGATGCTCAAAATGAGAATTTCAGTAATCCAAACAAAAATCTCAGTGGAAACTCTCACTAATAGAATGGATAATGTGGAGAACAGAATATCAGGACTTAAAGTCGGAGGTGGTGGTGTGCACCCTCTAATCCTAGCACTTCAGGAGCCAGAGGCAGTGGATCTCTGTAAGATCAAGGCTAGCCTGGTCTACACAGCAAGTTCCAGGTCAGCTGGGGCTACAGAGAGACACTGTCTCAAAAAGACCAAAAACAAACAAAAAATCCCACCTCTTCACAGCTCCCACATCTCAGTCCAAGCCCAATCTTCCTCCACTGAAGTGAGCTCCAGACTCACAAACCTTGTGATATGTCCCAGAACACACCAAAGCTTTTGCCACCTCAGGAAATTTGGAAGACTCCTCTCCCATTCCCCATCCCATCCCTACTCTCACCAAGATATACTTTTTCTTATCTCTCAGGTCTCAGCCTAGTTGAAATGTCCTCCAAAAGGTATTTCCTGACCACCATATTTAAATGTGCCCTCCTCACACATGGTACACTTCTTTTATCAAAGCATTATCTTTAAGATATATTTATTTTTAATGATATGTACTTTGTGGTATGGGTGGGTATGGGTATGTGTGTGTGTCTGTCTGTCTGTCTGTGTGTGTCTGTGTGTCTGTGTGTCTGTGTGTGTGTATTTATGTGAAGATGCCTCTGGAGGGCAGAAGGGGGCGTCAGATCCCCTGGAGCTAGAGTTGGAGTTGGCAGTTTTAAGTCCCCCAGTATGAATCCTGGGAACTGAACATGGGTACCCTGCAAAAGCAGTATGTGCTCTTCAAAACTAAGCCATCTCTCCAGGCCCATCAAAACACATTTTAGAGCCTCTCTAAAAAAGTATACCCATGACTCTCATACTTTTGTATTCTCCAAATAACACACCTCCTGTGTATCAGGTGTTTTCTTATTTGTAGTTATCCGTAGCATCCCCTTCTTGTATTAGAATTAAAACTTCATGAGAATATAGGCCTTCAGACATAAAAGCAAAAGTCATCAAAAACCAAATAGAACATATGTACTTCCTTCTTCTGAAGGTAAATTTTAGAAAAGCATAATCAGAACTGCAACTTTTCCAGAATATTAACAATGCTGTACTGTAATTCATTAGTTTATTTGAAGAAACATATTTATGTTGGATAAAACCTTATAATTAACACATGGAATGATACAGAATTCAGTATTTGTAGCAAAAGAAACGCAAACCTTTCAAGCTCTTTCTTCTGTCCTCCAAATGCAATCACAGTTCTAATGGATGCTAAGACTTCTTCAGCAACTGCTCCAGCTTTCGCATATGCCTGAAGTTCTTTATTAGTAAATGAATTTAATACCTGTTAAATGCAATCTTGTATCATTAAAAATTTTTTAACGCAGGTAAATGTATGGAACTAGAAACTGTTATACTAAGTGAAGTAACACAATCTCAGAAACAAAAATCGACATATGTTCTCCCTCATATGTGGATCCTAGAACCAGACTCTGATAAATAAGTATGCAACC